AGTTTTCTCAACTTTTGAACTCCTGAGTCCCTTGCTACGAATTGTGTGTTGGTCACCAAAACATATTTTTAATGAGCTGTCAGTTGATAAGTAATTTCGTCTTCCTTCAGTTTGGTTTAAAGCACAGTGGGAGAGAAAAGCAGTCGTTTGCCAGGGATTGTGGGGCGTCTGTTTGAGTTTGGTGTTTGCACATCTCCCTTTGCCGTGTGTGTGCCTAGCTCCAACCCTACTTGGCTACCAAAGTGTAACCTAGAGAAAGGAGAGTTGACTTCCATCAGGGTGAGAAGTTCACCAAATGCGTGTTAAATAAATGATAACGGAGGTCAGAAATAATAGATGTTATTTAAGCCAGAATCTAAGCCGGGCAAAGAAAGCAGTGAGAGAGGAGGATGCTGATCGACTAGGTCAAGGGAGGCCTCAGTGGGGAGAGTCAAAACGGCAATTAGAAGAGAGAGGTGAATGTGGTCAGAGCATGAGATATGTGGCTCAGTAGCTTTAGGTGCAGGGCAATTAAAGGTGTGAGTGTGGGTGCAGTGGAACAAGTCACTGAGGTTGATCTGGTTGTCAACAAGTATTAGAAGAGTGGTCCATGCCAATGTTGAAATCATCAGGAATAAAGGGGGAGCTCAGAGGGCAGAGAAAAACTGTGAGCTAGGCATCCCAAATTTTGAACAATGGAGGTTTCCAAACTGTCCCTGATTCTTGATTACCTAGTATGCATGGCAGCCCTGGGTGGTGCAGTGATGAATGTGCTTGGCTGCTAGTGGAAAGGTTGGAGACTTGAGTCCATACAGAAGCACCTTGAAAGAAAGACCTAGCGATATATTCTCCCCAAATCAGCTACTGAAGACCCTACAGAGCACAATTCCACTGCAGCACACACACAGTTACTGTGAGTTACAGTCAACTCCATTGCAATTGATCCTGGAACCTTGATAGGTGAAGAGCTTGGTCAAGGGTAAGTATTGTAGAGTTTCATTATGATAATGGGGCTGATTAAGATTCCTAGTGTGTGCACAAGGGTCAGAAAATGTGTAATTTGGGTGTTGACTGAGGAAAAAAGGAAAGAGTGGGTGAATTTAATCCAGTGGTCTTTGAGAAACTGATTCCTTTCTTAACTCCTAAACATCTGGTACAACTTAAAAGAAAAGATTCCACTTTGTCATACATGTTTCATATATGGTGAATTGTTTTTAGAACATCACTATCATTTGGCAAATGTTGGCATGTATGCTATGAAATAACATGGTGATGATTTGTCATTTCTCGCTTTTTGCATGTTTGTGTTTGTGCGCATTTGCGTGCTTTGAAAGGCTGTGTGTGAAGGTCATGCGGTCAGTTGGCACCAACTTGATGACACGGTATCTGGTGTGTTTGAAGATCGTGCTCGATTTGTAGAAATGTAGAAATTTCCATCTCTCTCCGGGCTCAGGATCTATTTATGTAGTACACACATTACGTTTTGCTATGGAATTGTCTATGAAATTCTCTGAACCTCATGGTCCGATACTGCAGCCACATTTAGGTACTACATGTCTGAAGTGGGGAGAATACAACTAACAAGCTGGGCTTTCTGTTTTAAATCAATTTACAATTTGCATTTCGATACTGATACTCATTTCAGCTTTGGAAGACTTTTAAGTACATTTGGAATAACCTGGGTATGGGAGTCTATTTAATTTTAATTGTATGGGATTTAAATGGGAATAAAAAATTTTCACAGCTGCTATCATTTAAATGCACAATTATACCCTGGACTCTAAGACTTAGTAATTTCTGTACTGTTTTATATGGATTTTGAGCACCCTGATGGCGCCATGGTTAAGTGCTTGGCAGCTAACTATAAAAGGTTGGTGGTGAGTCTAACCCACAGGGGCTAGTTCTACTCCCTCCAGCAGGGCTGCTCTGAGTTGTAACCAACTCCACAGCATTCATGTTTATTGTGGTTCACCTTTACAGGGGCAGATTGTCAGGGCTCTTCTCCTTCAAAATGTCTAGAATGTTCAAGGCTCCAATGTTTTGGTGAGCAGCTGGAGCACTTACATTGTGTTTCCAAGAGCCACACGTGCTCACTAGTCCCAGTTTGCAGATGGGGAGCCAAATCCAGAGAGACTGAAAAACTCTTCCAAGGTTATCCAGTTGTTAGAAATGAGCTTCGCACCTCACAAGCCTGACTCTTGCCTATTTTACTGTTGTGTTTTCTCTACACA